TTTGTTCCTTAGGTAGGCTTTAATTAATCAAGAAAGTCATTGCTAGTGATCTTGTGAAAGGCATCTTACTTTTTGGTTTACAAGGTTGGGTCATTTCCAAATTATATTTGAAGCACTTTCTTCTTCATAATAATAAATTATACATGTTATCTCTTCCTGTTTCACAGGGAGCTTCAAGGTTATTATTTTGTGTTGGTGGACCTTATGGTCGTGGAAGACAAATACAAGAACGTGCTAATATATCAGTCATCTTCGATGGTCTTGAATCATCAAATTGCACTTGTTGTGCTTGTGGAACAACTTTACAGGTAAGAGTAATACCAACTTATATGCTACTGCATCGATAATGATTACTTCAAACTGAGGTCATATTTGTTTGAAATGGGGTGGGTAAAAACATCTGTGTTCGTTGCAAATGAACTTTTTGAATTGTGACAGTTTGAAAAACTTACAGAATCTAGCTGCTTCTGACTGAGCTTGCATCACATTACCGTAGATAATCTTTATTACTTTATGTGCTAGGAGAAGTCAAAGAGCGTTCTCTAAAGGGCCATTTTTTTTCAGGTCATGGAATATTCTGAAGGGGCAGAAGTACCATCATTAGATATTTCTCTTTTTCTGAACCATTCAATGTGAGTAATGCTAAACTTAATGCCTAGCATTACCAATACTTTCAATCAAATTAATCTCTCCGCTGCAAAACAGGGTTGCTTGGGACACATCTGAGCATGTTAATTGTATTGTCAAGTATTTTATCCATAAGTATAGATTGGGAACCTAGAGTGTCCCTTTTTAGTAGACTAAGACCGGGACAAGTTACTGTAGTTCTGAATATCTGGCAGTTGGTCTAACCTTCAATTTAGTCTATACGAAAACATAAACATGGATGTGGCAATTTCACTGCAGAAAGTCGCACACGCAAGCAGTATATCTAAAGTAAAGCTTGGTTTGGCCATTTGGATCTACGTTTCAAGCATTTCGGTGGTTAAGTGCGATTGTGTCGAGTGGTCCTGGATTTTCAAGCTACTAATATGAACCACATTCTAAGGAGGACCAACTTCTGCCGTATTTTCAAAATAAGACATATTAATACAGAAGGAAATCGTGACACCAAGAAGTCAGTCAAGAGAGGGACTTACTGCTTTCAGTTTAATCCAGTAAAGTATTATGAGTCTCTGGTTCATATGTCTCATGTAACGTGAAAATGTGTTTTGGAAAATATTGAAGATATGTGAATTTTAGTAAGAGCTGCATTATATTGGATATTCAACTCAATTGATAGATTTAATTACGTGTTATTGAAAGTTCTAAACTTTGATCTTGAACTGACTTTATTATGGCTATTATTGAATACTTAGTTGAGCCATTTTTCCTCTCTCCTTATTTCATCCATTGTTTTGTCCTTTTTACTTATTTTTTATATATATATATAAAACTAGAAAGATAGAAATTCAAGAAACATAAAAATCTTGTACGGAATTCCCTCTTATCTATCTAAATCTATGAATTATTATTTTTGTGAAAGTTTTAGAACTACAACATATGTTCTATTGATTGATAACTTTACAAATCATAATATCTATGTTTTCATTAAAATTGGTCCATTCAAAGTTACATAGGACACCACACTTGCAATGTGGGATTATCCAACTAGTACTTACAATGTTATATAATTTGTAAATTTATAATTTTGATAGGTTACTCTATGATAACAAATGATATGCTAATGAATTAAATAAATCAATGATAATTTCTTTCCATTAGAAGTAAGTGATTTTAAATTCAAGTCATATGATATGTAAGTTAAGGGATGAGAAATAATTGCCTTTCATTCTGCAACTTACATTCAAAAAAAAAAAAAGAAAATGATATACTTGTAATGCCATATGATATTATAACCTTATACTATGATGTGTACTTATATAATTAACTATTTTTATTCATAGGTCTACACATAATATTTTATTAATCCACTTGTTAAATGTTATGTTATATTTATTTAATGCCATGTAAGATTGTAATGTCATGTTGGCTTATAAGTTTATAATTTTACATGATATTATAATTATAATATTGCTATTATATAATTGACATTTTTCACTGAATTAGACATAGTATTATATGTTTCAAGTTCTTTAAAGTCAAATCATTATGTTTTATTTTGTGTCTTGGTATATCAAAGGTAAAACTCATGACTAATATTAGTAATTCAATTTCCAATGATATCATCTACTTTGATTTGTTGGAGAAAATAAGATCACCTGATTGAAATTAATTTGGATTTGTTCTTTAAGTAGGTTTTAATTAATCAATAAAATTCAGTTTTACTGACAATCAGGTCGAAATCAATTTGGATTTGTTTCTCTTTTTTTTTTTTTAAATTTTTCTTTAACTTTTCCTATCATCCA